CCACGTAAGCAGCAGACTCTTGATTTAGCCCTTCCACAGGTTCCATTATGCTCCCCCTTTCCTCTGGTAGACTTCAAATCCTTTTATTATGCAATGGCCATAGTCATCTTGGAATTTCTATCCATCTCTCTTCCTGCTGTTTGTCATGTCCTGTCTTTATTTAGATTATAAGATCTTCAAGGAAGGAATCATATCCTCTATCACGTAAGCAGCAGACTCTTGATTTAGCCCTTCCACAGGTTCCATTATGCTCCCCCTTTCCTCTGGTAGACTTCAAATCCTTTTATTATGCAATGGCCATAGTCATCTTGGAATTTCTATCCATCTCTCTTCCTGCTGTTTGTCATGTCCTGTCTTTATTTAGATTATAAGATCTTCAAGGAAGGAATCATATCCTCTATAGATACTTTAAAGTGCATTTCTATGAGCTATAAAACCAAATATTTAGAATAAAATTATGTCTGGTCCTGGACAGGTCAATAGATGTCTCTGGGGTGGAGTAAGAAGTTCTCTGCTTTGTGCACTAGCATAGAAACCTTATGCTGTATGTTTGGGGGAAGTGTAACTCAGACACCTTTTGGGTGTGGTTCACTGTCCCATGTAGTGGCACTTAGGACACTCACAGAGAAAGAGAATGAGTTTCCTCTACAGCCTTAGCTGAGAGCCAGCTGCCCTTCAGCTCAAGCTATGGAAGCTCATACACTAAGCTTCAGAGGTCCCAGGTGTCGGTTCCTTCTGTTGGCGTTACACAATTACAGAGTTTTACTTAACACTGTTACTCCAGCATTACTACTTAACTCGTCGGTGGCCAGGGGTAAATGCAGCTTGTATTCTTAACTCCAGCCTGATCCTTAGAACGAGAGGTTTGGGATTGGAAACAGGAACTAACTCTCAGGTATTTTTTCTTTGGTTATCCACACAGCAAACCACCAGGCCAACATTCTTTGCCCGCAAATTTGAAGCTGTGGTGAATCAAGAAATCATTGGCCAGTTGGACTACTATTTATATGGTAACTACCCATCAGGCACACCAGGCCTCCGGTCATACTGGGAGAATATATATGATGAGCCCGACGGTATCCATAGCCTCAGTGATGTCATGCTGTCCATGTTCCACTCATTTTCCCGCTTGGGCCTCAGGAGAGCTGAGACGTCATTGCACACTGATGGAGACAACAGCTGCCGGTTAGTTTGAAACTTCTTTCTTTTTTCCCTCTGAGAGCAGGAGTCTTAGATGTTCAGGATGTGAGCCAAAGACATGTAAAGATCCCCATTGACTACAGTGAGCTTTGTATCAGAGCTGAATGAATGTTGGAGCGTGATATACAATATAGGGTGGCTGTGCTGGAGTAGAACGGAATGAACGATTTATCCTCCCTGGGAATTTCACCCATATTGTTGCATTGGCTGTTGCTCATACAGGGTTTGTCAGCTCTGGGTTTGAGAAGCTGTGCATATTTTAAAGGTGTTTGTATTTACTGATATATACTGGCTATGCAGAGTTAACATGATGCTTGACCTTTGTTTGATACACCTCCTAAGGTTAGTCAATAGTGACAGGTTTCAATTCGATAGTGGGTTTTATTTATAAATTTAGTGAGTGTATATTGACATTCACGGCTCCTAGATACTTAGTCTCATTTCAGCGGAGGTCGTGCTGACATTTTACTTTCCAGAAAGCCGAAGAAAGGATTTCAGTCCCTCAGAAATGAGTTGACGATCCTTCCTCCTTGCCCCCCTCTTTGAGCAGATATTCTGTATGATGATCACAAGAACTAATCATGGGAGTTAAGTTTTCTTGAACAGTTGCAATAGCCCCCTGTAGCTAGTGATGTTTTAAAAAGCCTCAGGCAATGTTTCCATTAATATGAATCAATTAATATTTTTTTAAAATCAAAGATGTTAAAGAAACACTTTTATTAAAGGTTTTCCATCTATAAATCAAGTGAATAAAAATCCATTTTAACAAATGCTTATAATTAAACTGATATAATTTATTTCAAAGCAAAGTTAAATCTTGTGCTAGGTGTTTGTTGTCTCCACTCACATATTAAAGCTCTTTATTATATCAAAGCAAGGATAAAAGTCTTCCCTTTCTGCTGTAAAATGTAATTACCTCTACATTGTTTGTTGTGACTTGTGTGCCCTGCTATCTTTTACCCTAACAGAAAACACACTTAGGCTAGCTCTGAGAATGTTAAAGCCATTCCCTGAGAAATAGAGTTGGTCCCTCGTGTTCTTGAGTAGAAACCTAATTCTCTGTGACCTTCTTAGTCAGGCACCGAAGTGCTGAGTACTGTCCCACTTGGGCAACTCTTAGCATTATGTGATGTAGGTTTCCATTATAGCTTACTAGTAAAGGCTGTAAAAGTAATACAAAGTTTGTTTGTTTGTTTTGTTTGATCAAGAACTCCTCCTAAACGGTAAGAGTGAGGACCACCAAATTCAGCATACAGCTTCCTCTTTTCTTAAAGCAGGGGTGTCCAAACTTTTTTCAAAGAGGGCCAGATTTGATGAAGTGAACATGCGTGAGGGCCAACCATTTTGCCTGACATTCTTTGAACCATTAAAATTAAATGCAAATTAACTATTTTATGCAAAGTTTATTGCAAACAGCATACTTTTCATTTCGTCACATGGATGACAAATCTAAACAGGTGTTCAATCACTCTGCCTTTCATATCTGAAGGCCAGATGAAAAAAAAATCCAAGAAGCTGAAATATATGTCAGGAACATTGTAAAGTACATTACATATTATTGGTAATAAAGGTTGTCTGTCAACTTTTAAGTTAAAAAAATATGAACAGGAACATAACACCAAGTATACATGTTGTATCCAAATATATTTATAACTGATTTAGACCAACTGACATTAACTGAGATTTTACAATGTATTCATCTCAATACATATGGATTCGTTGGGGGGCCATAAAAGATAGATATTGCCAAATAACCTGTGGGGCCGTATTAAACTGGAACACGGGCCGCAATTGGCCCACGGGCCGGACTTTGGACATGCCTGTCTTAAAGCAACATAAGAGTTTGGTTGTGCCAAGAAAACATCATGTACCTAGCCTAGAATGCGATTGCTTCTCATAAAGCCAAACAGAAAAGAGACACAATCACCAAATCAAGGACAGTACTCAAAATTGACATAACCGAGCAAATGTTGAAAGAGGCCGAACCAAGATCAGACAGAAAAATAGGATGAACCTGGAATAGGATTGCTTCTCAATAAACCTTACAGTAAAGAGTTGGAATAGTGTTCTGTTTTAGCACAGCTATATCAGTGCTTGAAGTTTGAAAACGTGTTATTGGAAACCAAATTGGCTATAGCCCCTTTTCATTAAAACATAGTGAATTATAAGCATTTATAGGGATAAAGAAAAAAATACGTTTGATGGAATTCCTTTTTTTTAAATGTATAAAAAATAAAACAACACACATTTTCATAAATCCTTTTTTAAAGAAATCCCACTTAAACATGAACTTCATAAAAATAACACTGTATTTTTTCAATAAAGCATGTGCCGGTTCCTTTTATTTAAAAAAAAATAATAATAATTGAGTTAAGGACCCATGCAATGCCAGGTAAATCTGCAGTTAGTAATAAGTAAAGGTGGTGATGATCATGGGAACAAGCAATCCCAACCTTCCACTAGCAAGCAAGTCATGTTTTAAAAAGGTTGCACCAACTCTTCCTTTCTATTTCACCCACCCAGCCCCGCAGAACTCAGCAAGTAGAACACGTCTCTGTGAATTAATCCAGTGCTCATGAGAGCGAGACTTCATTGCACTGAATGGAATTGGGCACTAGCTCAGCTGGTGCATCTCCAGTGTCCTGACTTGCAGTGCCCTCTGCTGTTCCTGTCATGGGACTCCCGTGAAGAAAACATACCAATCCTGGCCTACTGTGTGAGGGGTTTTTGACATGTGTCTAACCTTCATTCAGTACGATGATATAAGATTGGTTGCAAGTGGAAGAAAGCCACAGGAGTGGAGGTCTCTTGTGCACTCAATCTTCAGCAATTGGAAGAAAGAATGGCTTTCCTTGAATTTGTATTTTTCATACATATGTGGCAAATATTATATCAGGATTTGGTTCAAAATTACCTTGTAATTTTAATGCAAGTATAAATGGGACAGTCCCGTAAAGCAGGCATCTGTTGTTACTGTAGCAGTGAAAGGTGCTTGGATGAGATGGTGATGGGGGTCATAAAACAGAGACCGATATGAGATACAATAAACTGTATAGATAGCAAACATGCCTTCTGCATTAGTGTCCAGTACTGGTTTCAAATATTCACCAGTTGGTTAGGCTGTTGGGTACAGAAAATGCAGAAAATGGACCAAAGAATGGATTATCTCTAAAATTCAGTGTAGTCGTACCTTCAAATGGAAGGTCCTTCTCAATGATCCACAAGCATTGTTAGAAACTTATCAAGGCTGTAGATGTCAGTGCTGTGTAATGTACCGACAGTCTCAGAGGGGTAGCCAAGTTAGTGTGTATCTGCAAAATAAAAAGAAGTCCTGTGGGACCTTAGAGACTAAGGGTATGTCTACACTTGCAGCCTAATTTGAACTACGGCTGCAAATGTAAGCATTTAGAATTGCAAATCAAGGTTTAGGTTGGACTTTAGGAAAAACTTCCTAACTGTCAGGGTGGTTAAACACTGGAATAAGTTGCCTAGGGAGATTGTGGATTCTCCATCTTTGGAGATATTTAAGAGCAGATTAGATAGACATCTGTCAGGGATGGTCTAGATGGTGCTTGGTCCTGGTGAGGGCAGGGGACTGGACTCAATGACCTCTTGAGGTTCCTTCCAGTTCTAGTGTTCTATGATTCTATGTCTATACACTGTTGCACTATGGGGGAGCATCAAAATAGCTCAGAATTATTTTGAAATAGCACATCCACACTCATTGGAGCCTACCTCAGGTTTAGAGCCCCAGAATTACTCCAGGGAGGCACCAGGAAGGCAGACACTTCCTGTGGCTGCTTGGTCAGACAAGCTGAAACACATGCTTTTAGGGGCTCCTCTCTCCAGCCGCATCTCTCACACCACTGCTCCCCTCTCTCTCCCATCATGGGACACCAAACGGACGCAGTGTTCTCTGGTTGCCCTTGAGGACACCACAGCACTGACACCAGGGAGCCAGAGCTGCTGCAAAGCAGTGCCAGGCTAATGGCCTTGTGCTGCACCTCATGGTGCGGTTCGTCCAGACTGTCCACATACCCATACGTCGTCTAGCAGAACGACGACCAGCCCAAACTGGAAGATCCCTTCACCCAGGTCCTGGTGCTGCTGCTGCTGCAAATGTCCCTCAGCTCCTTGGACACCATCAAATGCTGCTTCTGGCAGAGGGAGACCAGTTCCGACTGGTGGAACTGCATCGTCATGAGAGGGAGTAGGAGACTGCTTGACTTTGCCCCATTCTAGCCAGTGCTACTAGGGTTTGTTTCATGAAATCCAGGGGATGTCTAGGCTGCAGTACAATCCCTGTGGTACTGATCCTCAAACGCCAGGTCAGCTGACTGAGGCTTGCAGGGTTAAACATAGCTCTGCAGACATTGAAGCTCAGCTTACTATAGACATTCGAGCCCCCCTCATGGGATCTCAGAGCCCAGGCTCCACCGCAAGCCCACAGGTCTCCATTTTATAGCCCCACAACCCAGCTCCCACAAGCCTGAGTCAGCTGACGTGAGCCAGGCACAGCCATGCTGTGGGTCTTTCATTGCACTGTGGACACATCCCCACTGTCCACCCGCCCCTCTTTCAGAATGAAATTAGAGAAGGACTTGAACATCTTTGCAGAAAGTTTGGATCTGATTCTAACTCGAACCTTACTTTGCATTGGAACCCCGAATCTGAACACCTCTCAATCTGGACTTTGTAAGCTGATCTCCCCACCACTCAGTCTTTGAAGTCTCTCCAGAGTTCAAAGTATCCACCTTCTTGCAGCACTGTTTCAGCAGAAAGGATCAGTAAGAAAGTGGTGTGTTCTGGCCCAAAGAGAGAGCTTAGAAGCAGTTTAGCTGTGAATGCCTTTTAAATGAGAGCCTGTTTTACTAACAATTGTTTCAGAATAGTCAGAGAGCCTAAGAGTACTGTATATGATAATGGGTAATGAACACATTTAAAATCTCTTCATGACAAAGTAGCGTATTCCTGAGTTGAAACTAATGTCCCTCTAAACCATTAGCTCACAATAAATGGTGATTTTCGTGTCAATGTGTGTGCACTGTATGTTTTCCAGATACTACCCCATGGGCCATCCAGTTTCCGTCCAAGTCTACTTCCTCGCTGATCGTTTTCAGGGCTTCCTAATCAAACATCATGCAACAAATCTGGCTGTCAGTAAACTGGAGACTTTGGAAACTTGGGTGATGCCAAAGAAAATGTTTAAGATTGCTAGTCCACCCAGTGATTTTGGAAGGCTGCAGTTTTCAGAGGTAAGCATTCCCATTTTACTGGCCAAGGCACATTTTTGGTACAAGCCAGCACCCATCCCTGTTGTGTAGCCAAGACCCTCCCCTCACCCTCCAAATGGTACCAACCTGCCAATTAGCAGAGCAAAACAAAAAAAAACAGCCCCTGGAAGTTGTCACGCCAGGTGACCACCCTATTCGCCTGGATCCTAGAACCTGCCCTGACTCTTCAGCCATTTCTTTACAAGCATCTGAGGAATTTGCATATCAATTCATCAGCTTTTTCAAATGTTTTTTAGACAAGTCATGAGCGGAGTGGCTCAGTAGGTTGGTGACCAAGTCCTTCATTATGGGAAGTATCGATGCAAATCATGATTTATGGTTCAACCGTGTAACATGCTGAACACTTCCTGCAATATTATAAATGTCCTCAGATCCCCTTGAGTTAAGTGGGAGCCGAGGGTATTTATCTCACAACAGTTGATTTGTACCGTATGGGAATGAGCATCTGTGTCAATTTCCCCATTCAGGGAGACTCCGGGAAGCGGGAGGGAAAGAAGCACTGTAGCTCCAGAGTGAGGCGGACTGTGTGTGATGGATTCAACTCTTCTCCAGCCTGTGTGGTTAGATCTCCCCCTCATGAACATGCTGAAAAAAACTAAAATTAGGAAAAGTCAGGAAGTAAAATGTCTTGTGGCTGGAGTATTGAGGCAGGAACATCAAAGAGAAAATCACCACAGCACTAGCTGAGATTTACCCACAAATCCTGTTATTTCCTCGTGGGACTTGTCCCATTATCGGACACACACACTGAAAAAAATATATCCCTAAAATACAGCATGAAAAATATACCAAAAATGGAACCTAATATCCATATGGTACTTTTAAATATATATCTGTTTAAACAATTTCATGATTTTTCTTGTTAAGACAGAAATTTCAATTAAAGCTTAAAATTGATTGAACAGATTTGTTCCCAGTCATTATGGCCAAGTCCATATATTATTATCTTCTTGAGAAATTAAGAAAGGCCTAGGTAGGAATCAGTGTTTTGGTGTGAGTGGTAAATCCAAGGCATTAATGTCTTATTAAGAAGATGGATGTGGGCTGCATTCTGTTTATCAATGTGTCTGACGGTTGACTTGCCATTTTGTTCAGTGACAAATTGTTATACAGGCTGTATTTCTTGTGATTAGTAGCACTTCTGCTGTTTGTTTGGTTCTTAATTCTACTTTAGCATGATTCCTGATTTAAGTGCTTCTGCATTTGAAAACAAGTAGGTGAGTAACAGAAACAGTTCATCAAGCAGAGGTTGTGTTTAAAGTACTCCGTATCTCTTTTAAACACAGTGGCTGTGTCTAAACTGCATCCCTTTTCCATAAAAGGGATGCAAACTAGACACATCACAATTGCAAATGAAGCGGGGATTTAAATCCCCCCGCCCGCTTCATTTGCATAAAAATGGCTGCCGCTTTTTTCCGGCTCGGAGCTTTGCCGGAAAAAAGCGCCAGTCTAGACGCAGATCTTTCGGAAAATAAAGCCTTTTCCGAAAGATCCCTTATTCCTCTTAAAATAAGGAATAAGGGAGACTGGCGCTTTTTTCTGGCAAAGCTCCGAGCCGGAAAAAAGCGGCAGCCATTTTTATGCAAATGAAGCGGGGGGGATTTAAATCCCTGCTTCATTTGCAATTGCGATGTGTCTAGTTTGCATCCCTTTTACGGAAAAGGGATGCAGTCTAGACACAGCCAGTGTTAATAAGAAAAAGAAAAATCTTGACTTGTATCAGTTCCTGGAAAAGCCTTTTAGCCCAAAATATGTCCTCTGGCCCCCATTGACCTCAATGGGAGTCATGCAAGCGTAAGCAAGGGAAGGATTTGACACTTGGGGTGTGTCTAGACTACATGCCTCCTTCGACGGAGGCATGTAGATTAGCCAGATCGGGA